ACAAAATTCTGAATTATTACTAATCTCTCGTGAAGGAAAATCAAAATAACATCTTGATCTCATAAATAAAAAGACATCCCTTGAGCTTAAGTATTACTAATATTATACTAACATTTACATATAAAATGCGTTATTAAAACTTTTATTTTTTACAGAAATACAATTTAGATTGACATTAAGTATCTTTTAATAAGTTATTTAATGTCGAGAGCTAAAGAGTGATTAGAAACATTTATTCATTCAATCTCAACGTAATATATATAGTTGGAAAATTGTAGAAATGTAGAGTACTATTAGAGAGAAGATATAATTAAGAAAAGGACACACGTACCCACGCACCGTCATTTCGATACGCGAATAAAATGCTTTCAAATTAGGTGTGTGATTGCATATTTAATGTTTAAACAATTTATTATATTGCCAAAAAAAGAAGCAGTTTATCATATTTAATTTGTTTTACAAATAAGTTTAAAATATGTTGACAAAATAATAGTCATCAATCCAGTACTAACAAATAATTAAAAATACAATTACTATTAGATCATATTATATATATTAAACCAACTTTGCTAAATTTATCAAATATAATAAGGAAAATGTTTTAGAAAATTATACACTTATTATCATTCATTGAAATATCAAAGATTACATGATTAATTACATATATTATATTATAGCAAAAATCAGTATTAAATCTATTAATATTCTCTAACATATGTAATAATTTGTTTTCATTTATTTTTGTAAATGTTTTAGAGATTTTTTGTTTTTTATTAAATAAAATTTCTAAAAAGAAGAAGAGAATAGAGTGGGTCCCACAAGGTTCTGATCAGACGGCTCAGATTTCACCATCACATTGAAAATAAGATCACGCGCAAACGAATTGATGAAGAGATAGGGGTAAAAACGTAACTTACTAGGGACCGGCACAATTTATGAATCCGTACATGAGGGGCAAAAGACTCATTACTCAGCACTGTTATTTTATTTATTTAAACATTTTTAAGACG